ACAAGCTCATTTCATAGACAACTTATTTAATAGATAGCTCACTTCATAGACAAGTTTATTCCTATAAACTTCTCTAATCTTAACTCTAACCCTAACTCTAATCTAATAAAAATAATGTCTATAAAATGAGATGTCTATAAAATAAATTGTCTATAAAATAAGCTTGTTTAGGAATTAGTTGTCTATGAAATAAGCTTGTCAGTGAATTGATTATTTGTAAGGTAGCATGTCTGTAAGTTGAGTGTCTGTGAAATAAGTGCTACCCCATAACATGCAACAGTGCAAACAGAAATTTTATTGTTACGTTTTTGATTTTTATTAAAAATGTATCAAAAACGAGAACTTTGCATAAAAATCTCAAGTCTTTCACCAGACTCTAAACAATAAAATTAAAAAAAAATAGCATTATTGCTTTAAAGAGCATTATAAAATGAACTTAACAAATGTAATTTTATTTATGCAGGTTTCTGGTTAAAGAGTTATTGCAGTTTGAATTTTATATAACGTTCATCGATCTATAAAAAAAAGTTTACTGTATTAAAACCTTAGCTCAAAGTACAAGTTCAGATATTTTAAAAAGGAAAAAGGAGTTTAATACAATATTCACAAGTGATCTTGAAGTTAAAAGAAAGGCATGTTATAATTTCTGAATTAGATATTGTATTGACGAATTGGGTTTTACAATGTGAATAAAGCCAAGAGTAAAAAATTAGCAAATTTAATAAAAATTCTGGAAGATAACTAGCTAGAGTTCTCAAATAGATGGTTATACGCCTTTTAAGAAAGATATAATTTTTATAATATTAGGCTTCATATTGAGGGCAGTTCTGCAGATCTTGAAATTGAAATAAACATTCTATTATTCGTAAAACTAATAAATATTCTTTAAGAGATATTTATAATATAGATTGTTTTATTCTATAGCTCTTGATCACATTATTGCATCTCATCAGATTGAAGGAGAAAAAAAAAATTGTTTTTGAAGCTTTAATTCTGTTAAATATTTAAATAATATGCATAAAAATTCTTTGACTCGAATAAAAGGAGACAAATAAAGATGAAAAATAAAGAGATGATTAATTAAAGCTACAATTTTATAATCCAATATTCTTTCATTAAATGTCTAACTATTCATAAATGATATAGAATCTTTGCTAACAAAAGACCTTTTTGGGGCTATTATTTACATAGTCCCGAATGGTCATTTTGTTAAACATGCCGATTAACCTGTTCATGCCTATTATCGATACTAAACTTGAATGTGTCATATTTGATAGTAAATGCTAAACAGTAATTTACCTAGACCATCGCGCAATGCTTTCTAACTGATGATTAAATATTTACAGATTTCTCGATAACTTTAAAATAAGCAATTTAAATTTATTATAAAATTTCAGTATTCAATATTGATGCAATTACAAATAGTATAAAATTTTAATTTTAATGTATCATTAAGTTAATTTTCGTAATAGATAAAACTTTTTCTCATATTCAAAAAAAAAAAAAAAAACACCAAATTATAATTTATAAACTATAGATGAATCCATAATGTCTATCACCTAATTTCCATTCATCACTAATCTTTTCGTCACCTAAACTTTTAATTTTAATTCTTTCCTTTTTCTTCAACTCATTAAGACGGATTAAAGTTCCATATTGGATTATACTCAAACAAATAGACATCAATAAGAAGCTAGATGCAATAATATGACCAGGGACGTAATGAGGGTAATCTACGGAACGATATATCTGAGCTGCAATTATACCTCCAGCGTTACCAATACTTAGCATCATCGCAATACCTACGTTACGCTTTAGTGATGGTGCCAAATTGTTTGATAGCCTTTTTAAATGATTAAAAAAAAAATAAAATAAAATAAAATAAAATAGAAAGTTGGGGTGTATAAATATTATTTAGTATAAAAATTGGATTATTGTCTGACATTTAAATTATTTAGCTTTATATCTACCATATAATACAAAGAACACCACATGGGGATACACCTATAGATATAATCCAAGTTGCCATGTATTTAACTATTTAATGAATAATTAAAAAATTGAGAATAATAATAATAATATTGAAAGATTATTAAAATAATTATAATTATTTGAAATATTAACCAATCAGAGAATTTACTTCAGCAGAATACAAGACAGCTATGTATCCCACGATTCCAATTGAAGAAAGCGCTATTAGAAAAGGACCACGAAATTTCATTCGATCTGATATGCTTGATACAATTATTGCCGTAATACCACCAACCAAAAACGGCGGAGCCACCAATAATTGAGATATAACTTTTAATGTGTATATATATATATATATAACGGATTAGTTAACATGATAACATGATGTAAAATTGATACATAAATATTTTTTATTGCCTGCCTTCATTGAAACCGAGTCCATTGACGATTGTAGGAATATAAAATGCAAATGAATAAACTGAAGTATTAATTCCTAATAAAATGAACATTGCTGTGTACACTTTCTGAATAAAAAAAAAAAAAAAAAGAAAGAAATTATAATAAAAAAGGTAACAAAATCATTTAAAGTGATATCAAATAAAATAAAAATATAAATCATACCCAATCTTTCAAACACTCTATGATATAAACTTTTTCAAACGAATGTTCCCTAATTTTAATATCATCTATATCGCCAACATCTTTTTTCAACCTTGAAACAGCCAGTTCCTGTTCTTCTTTGCTGAGCCATTTTGCTTCTTCTGGATAATCAGCGATAATGAAATATGAAACAATAGCAACTAAAATAGTAACTAAACCATCAATGATAAAAATCTGTTACATTAAAACGAAATGAATAATCTCATCCCATTAGACAAATAAATGATTATTATAAATAATTTTACATATTTAATATGATATATCCTACATACCAATTGCCATCCTTTCAATATAGAGTTTTCCCCATTTATGCTTACAATTGCATAAGTTAATAAACCACTAAAAGCTCCAGCAATTGGAGCACCAGATAAAATTATTCCCATTCTAAAACTTTGTTCGTATCTTTTATACCATAAAGTAATATAATATACCACGCCAGGAACTAAACCTGCTTCAAAAACTCCTAGAATAAAGCGTGCGACCATAAGAGAATAAAATGATTTTACCTTTAAAATAAATACGAATAATTTGCGTTATTATTAAAATTAAATATTATTAAAGTTCTAATTAAATTCCTTACTAAAGCCATAAGAGTCATCGTTATTCCCCAGGCAACCATAGTTGATGGGACTATAAAAAACATTAACAATTTATATGAGAAAAAAGAATCAGCTGAATTATCGTTATTCAAGTTAAAACTTACTCCATATCGAAGGTCTAACTTTAAATAATATTAAATTTGATGGTATCTCAAATAAAACATAACCTCTATAAAAGTAAGTTCATAATAGAGTTTATTCTTTAAAAAAGAAAAAGAATTTACTCTTTTAACAATAAATTAATAAAAAAAAAAAAAAATGCCTACATAAAAAAAAATGCCTAAACTCCAATTATATTCACTCCCAACTAATCCAAGATCACTTTCCAAATTTGCCAATTTTGCATTTCCAATATTTACTCTTCATTTTAAAAGAAAATTCATATATTTTTTTTTATTATTTATTAAAAATATTAATTATAAACAAAAAAAAAAAAAAATTATTTATTATATAATTACCTATCTAAAAAGCTTAATAGGTAAAGCAAAAAAATTAATGGGATAATTCTACAATCGATTTTTTTTAATAAAATTTTTTCCTTTTCGCTTGTTTCTGAATTAATTGGGTCCATCACAACAATTTTTATATAAATGTTGCTTTTAGAAAAATAAATAAAAAATAGTTCGTTAAACTTTTCATCATTTTTTTTTTCTTAACGTTGATCTTTTAATTTCAATAAGGAAGGTTTCTTATAACAGGTAATATTATAACGATAAGCACTGCCACTACACAGCCCTGTATACGTAAAACATTTTTCCGGATAAATCCAAATATTTTCTGTTTATCGTTATAAAATTAAAAGTATTTAACTATGAATAAACAATTCAAAGGTTTCAGATGCATATTGGAACTACATAATTTCTTGTTGAAACATGTTATGTTCAACTATTACAGCATTAGCATGTAGTACAAATTAAAAATACAGAAGTGGAGGGTTTAGTAATAAATACGGTAGATTTCATCCTTACTTTCCTGCTTTTTCCATCTTTGAATAATTTTAGCGGAATTTTTTGATTTATACGTATCATACAACCTAATGAAATGCCTTAACGAAATCATTTTTTAAATAAATTAGATAATTCATAAATTAGTGTAGAGCGAGAGTATCGATTTTCATTTAAAATCTATTCAAGCTTGGAACCCAAGACTTAACAGATATGAGTGAAAATCCGACAAGTTTATTTCCTGTTGTACTCAATCACTATAAAATTTAATATGTTTTATACTAAACTTCAAAGCCCTAAATTTGATTTCCCTTGGCAGCACTCGTATACATTTAGATCATTTGTAGTGGTTTAGCCGGAGAGTCGATAAATTTTAGAATACTGATACGTTTAAATCGTTCAAATTATTTTACTTTATTTTATTAATCGATAATCCAATCTCAATACGTATATTTGATGAGTGATATATTAGTAAAAAAAATTTTCAATTTTTGGTGTTTTTTTTTTTTTTTTTTATGATTATTTCAATTGCTTATACTTTCAAATAATTTATCCAGCAAGTGAGTATACAGGTAATTTATTAATCTGCGAATTATTATAAAATTAGCAAATTATAAACATAAATATTTATTTACTATTACGGTACCTAATCATTTCATTAAATGAGTATGAAGATAATTTTTTTTTAGCAAAATTATGGTGCTTTGACATCTGCAGATCACGATGTCATGTGAAATTGCAAAAAATCAGCAGATTTTAAAGATTTTGAAGATTTTAAACAATATATACAATTGTTTATTGAAATATATAATTGATATAAAATCTTAATCTCCGAAATTTCCAACTACCATTAGAGATGAGCAAAGTCAGTTATATATTATTACTTAATATTACTGTGAAATAGGTAATAATAAGTAATTTTATAATAATTTGATTCTTTAGCAGCAATTTTTCATTCAATCTCAATTTTGATTCGCCTCCGACTGTTATCATGTGTTTTATATGTATACATAATAAGTAATAGAATGTAATAAATATTTAATATTATTTAATATTAAGTAAGGGATAAGTCATAGGT